AATATACGAGGAGCTTTTTAAACTTTCGTGGGGTAATAAGACATGTAAGAACAGCAAAAGCTTCTTTCTACATCAAATATTGATCAAAATCAGTTCGAACCCCAATTGGGCTTGATTTTGCAAAGTTTGTGGAGTCGGCTTTGTTTACATAATGTTAAATGAAAAGGTCACGGCGTATGTGAAGTTAGAATTGAAAGCTTATCTGATATCGCGGAATGGTTCAAAAGAAGTCTACCTGCTCACGTTCATTGTTGAGTCAAATTTTGCCATACTTCATTATTGCACGATTTCAACATGTCCTTGGTTTTCCGAATCGACAGAGATAAAGGGCTGCATTCCCCCCTGTGCTGCAAATGACTCCATCTGTGTTAAATCCTTCAAGTCTTACATATGTAAGTGTCCATACGGATTTAATCCATCGTTTGGTCATAAAGGAGTTCTTCTTCATTGTCAAGGTATGACAAAGTTGCATGTTTTAGTTTATTGATGCCATCTAAAGAAGAAAATAGAAACACCCTTACGTCTACTTTCATTTAAAGTCAAAGAGAAATACCCCTCCGGCTGCTGTTAAAAAAAAAAAATATCATGGCGCCCTTGTGTTCTCTATCTCCTCCCTCTCTACCTCCCTCCCGAACTATTCTTAACCATATCTTTTGTGTTATATTAAATATGCAATCCAGTGACTTCGGTGTACTGTATAATCTACCTCAAACCAATTTCAGATATTAACGAGTGCGAAAAACCGACGTTAAACAAATGTGGAAAAACATCCATTTGTGTCAATGAACATGGTCATTACAACTGTACCTGTGGGAATGGATATGTCTTGGACAAAAGTGGCCATAAACTTGAATGCAAAGGTTAGTTTTCTGTACCTCTTGCAAAATAAATGATATATATATATATTTCTTTCTAAAATGCATGTTCTATAATGTTTGTCTCGAAAGAACTGGGATGGGCGTTGTTAAAAAAGGATGATCTTTCGTGCGTGATACGAGCAAAGAACAAAACTTTCTTGGCGAATTCACATATCAAATCATTGATATCGTTTCACAAATATTTCTTATGAGTAAGAAATTAATTGGTCTCGTCATAACCTGAATTCTTGTTATGGTCCAGCTACACCGGCGGACCTCCATTACTTGAATGGCATTTTATCTTGGAGGATCACTTACAATCCCTCTGTTCATACATATTTTTCTCTGATACAAATATTGCGTCTGTCACCCTTGTAAGTTTATAGCTTTTTATTATTTTTCTCTAGATATCGATGAATGTGCAGTGAAAAAATCTTGCCACGTGGACGCCTCGTGTTTTAACAGCCCTGGTTCTTTTAATTGCACGTGTTCCCATGGATTCGGTGGAGATGGCTACAAGTCCTGCTTACGTAAGAAAGGCTGTCACTATCTCTTTATGAGGTTCAAATGAATGCAGTTATTTAGCCCCTTAAGCGACCATCGTGGCCGTTCGACATCTC